ACACACACACACATTCATTCTCTAAATCTCTCTCTCACACATATCCACACATATTTATTATTATTATTATAATATTTTGTTTGTTCGCGTTGGCATCAACCTGCATAAATCAGGTATACAGCCTTCGTTTAAGCTGCCATAAAAAAGAAAGCTCATCCTAAGCGAGAGGGCTAGAGGGAAATATAACGATAACGAGATACGGAATACAAAGAAATCCAATGAGTTCAACATACAATTCAAAATAAGAAAGAAAGGAAAGAAAAACAGAGCCGAATCTACCGATTGAACCATCAATCGACAAAGGGGACTAATCCGTTGATGTTGCAAAGTAGAAGCTGATTATAGTTGCAGATCTCCAGGCCAGGGCCAGCATATTGCCGATTCTGGATAGGTCTCCGCAGCATTTGATGTGGTAATTATCATAATGGTTGATAAAATTGTTAGAGTATCTAGAGTATCTGGTATCTAGAGTATCTAGTGTCCACACATATTCCTTCTCTAAATATCTCTCACATACACACATACACACACACACACACCTTGACCTTGACCTTGACCTTGACCTTTGACGCCCATCGCCGGAGGCGATGATAGCAATGCTACGGCAGAAGCCATAGCAACTTGTGCTGGGATTACACCATTCAACAGCTTGCAAGGCTAAAGAATTGACCGTCACTATTCAGCCTGGTCTACACCATACAGCTATTTGGAGTGACATTTTCTGGCCACACACACACACACACACACACACACACACACACACACACACACACACACATGCATTCTCTAAATCTCACACACACACACACACATTCTCTAAATCTCACACACCATGTACCCACACACACACCCTCATTCTCCAAATCTCACACACACATTCTCTCTCTCTCTCACACACACACACACCCACACACACACACACACACACACACACACACACACACACACACACACACACACACACGCGCGCGCGCGCGCGTATGCTCACAATACTCATCCGTCCATTCTCACACCTACCACACACATACCTGCACCCCGCACTCGTCTAATCACCCACACGCACTATCTTTCTTACGCATGCACAAAAACACACACACACGCACGCGCACTCACACATACACACACACATACGCGCGCACACGCACACACACGCACACTCATACAAGGCAGAGGGGCTACAAGCTAGATTCACGCGATCTTGCAGACAAAGTTACGGAGGTAGAACTTCTTTTCATGACGGCACTTGGACACAAGCTCTGACCGCTTGTTGAGGGAGCGGGTCTTGTCGGCCCAGGCAATCGCTAGCTTCTCGGCCAGACACAGGTTGCAGCGCTTCGAGATGTTAAAGTACAGTGCGGCTCTCCTCACGGACCGCCTGATACTGTAAGGTTTGTTTTTATCCTTCAGTCTCCAGATGTGTCTGGACAGTCTCGTTACGGTCTCATGCTTCTGGTACCGCGTAGTCATTCGGTACAAAAATAATAGAATGGGATACGGAGCTCAGAGTTTCACGCCTGTGGCGATCATCGGACAGCAATGATTACAAAAACTCAATGAATGTTCTTGATATAGTGTGGTAAGGTGCTAGTGGAATCAGAGAATTAAGCGCAAATAAGGTCAAGCGGTTATTCTATGCATGTACTTGCAAGGTCCGCGCCAGACATCAGGTGTAATCCTGGTTTATGTAACTGGAGGTGTAAAGTTAGATAGGTAGAATTTGTTCTCATGTCTGCACTTGGCCACTAGCTCCGATAGCTTGGTGATGTTCACCCTTCTGTCAGCATTCAAGATCTCCAGCTTCTCACGCAGACAGAGAGGGCAGCGCTTGGTGGCATTGGAGTATGCTGGTGTTTGGGCGACAACTGACCAACTGATGCTGCACCCGGCATTCTTGCGCTTCATGTCCCAGATCATGAGCTTCGACAACTCGGTACTCTTCTCCATTCGCTCATGCCTCATTGACGTCATGTGTCCGTCGTATCGCTTCTTAAACGTTATTTCCGTTAGGCCGAGGTACTCATTTCGTTCGTCTTTTCCGGTTTCTGGCACGCTGGCCTTCTATACGATTCACTGGATCTGGCAGTTTCCATGCTTGGGGCAGTTAACCTTATCCCTGCAGTTGCATCTTTTCTCTGTTCTCTGTTGATCATCTTTCTGCTTCTTCCGCAAGACCGAATTGTTGTGCGCCTTTAGTACACCAGACATGTTCTGCATGCAGCTGTAACTTACTTTTACTGTGTTACTGTTGAATATTTTGTTTAGGCGTGAGCGAGGTGGAAAATGCTTCTCGACGAAGTGTAAGAATCTTTGCGCGACATTCGCGCCTACTGTTTTGCTGAACGGAGGATTGTACCAGATGATGTTTCGTCTGCGGTTTTTCTTCTTTTTCTCTTCATCTTTTTCTCTCTCCTCCATGTACACGATCTGCTCGGCGTAACCGCTGGCCTTGAGCGCACTGTTGTACAGAGGTGCCATTCGGTAGAAATGTGTGAATAATACTACTAAGACTGTTATAATCTGACGTGAATGAGGCCGAGGGACACCTCAGGAACACAAGTTTGAAGTCAGCAAGCAGTCAACTTTTGCGTGAATTTATTCCGGAACCATGTCTGGTAGGTCCCACCCGTGCAAAAAAACTTTTGTCTCGTCCTGCCGGCCAATTGTCCCATGGCTGCAGACGTCGAAATCTGTTACACCCCGATTACACCTGGCCAAAAATCTACTGTCATTTTTCACGATTTTCGACTTGGACAACATTAATTTTACTGTCATGCAATTGTTGCCCGATTTTTGCACTCAGACTGACAAACTAACTAATCTTGTTGTTCATGGTTACCTCTACCAACACGATAAAGGCATGTACATCGCTCTGCACCTCCCTAACATTCTGATGGTCCCGTGACATTGATCATGCACCCTTTGTAGGACCCAGGGCAGTACGGACTGAGCGTTTGTTTGCTACCGTGAATACATAAACTTTATTGTAAACTTTAGTGTTAGTTTTCTTGCCTTCTTGCCAAATTGTGTCTGTGTGTCTGTGTGTATGTGTGAGATTTATCTTCTTTCGTTCTGTTTAGGTCACCTTACAAGACAGTGATGATTGTTTAGTTTTCTGGCCTTGCCAATTGTGTCACCGTCATGTGTTCGTTCTAGAACATTCATCTACCTGCATTATCCGTCTTTATATTTTTTGTTTTTGCCTCTCCTTTCTCAATGCCCTGATGATGCCCAATGGGCGAAATATTTGCAAAGGTCTTTATTTATCTATTTGGTGCAGCTGAGAGCCTGTTGCCTGAATGGCGGTATTTTCAAGTGCAAAAACCAGACTCTGTGGTAAGTAAGTTATCGGGTCCGTTCGCAAGGGAACTCGCGGCGGGTGCTAACACGCGGTCAATTCAGGGGCAGCGCCTGCCTGTGGGGATTAAGGGATACGTCTGGCATGCACTGGCACAAGTGCTGATAACCCCATTAGCAGCATCAATCCTTGTGCGTATACAAAGGAACGTAGCTATGTAGTGTAAGTGATAATATCAGGTCTTTCCTTGTTTGTTTACACTAGAGAAGTGTTTTCAGCGCAAAGAACACACCCACACAAGGTTACCGAGTGACCCAGGGAAACGCACGTATAACAAGCAAGGTACGGATAGAAAGTCTTCCATCTGTTGAGTCGCTTCCCCAAGCTGTGATCTTAGTTGAACGTTTTGATAGTACAAGTACGTCATAGATATTGGAAACGCCGGGCAATGGATGAACAGGAACACGGATTCGACCAGGTCGTGCCAACAGTGCCACAATCATTGAGGTTTCTTCTTATCCTCTGGCCCGTGCTTCGGTACGGTTCGTTACAGGACCTCGAAGGAAACTCGCCAATTGGTCCTGCTGCCAATATGGACAATGGTCCAGACGTGTTTTGGGGAGTTCCCCATTTCGTTCCTGGATTTGAGCTTTACATATCGGTAAATGGCCAGCCGAATACGTCAATCGCCACTATCGCTGAGTTTAAACAGAGACTAGTCATCGAAAGTGAGTTATATACTGTGGTTGACGCGTCCGTCCAGGTCGAAACGATCCAAGATTCTTTTCACGAAGGCCCTTTGACCATTACGCTGATGTATATCCTCTCGCTGTCCACGTATCCTGAAGGTGCAATTCAGAAAGTTGTATTCATATTCGTTCAGGTAATGACGCGCATTTTAAATGGTTCTGAAATACATTTTTCGGTGGCAAAGATTTATTTATATTGGCTTTATCCATTGGAGTTCAATTTAAAAAAATGATGTCCTTCCATATACCAGTTACACATGTAAGATTTGATCTCCTTCTATTGCTCGGGTCCACATCTCCCCCCCCCCCCCCCCCCCCCCGTGCCACACACCCACACACACACAGACCCTCACATACGGCTTCTGTTTCTGTCTTGTCTAAGTCCTTGCGCGCCGTCAATCCTTCTTAGGTAGTAGCTTTTGTGTTTTTCTCTTTTGGGCACATGGCTTTGCGCTGCTTCATACGCATGCTACATGTGTATCTCTCATCACGTGACACTTCCACACTGTACATGTATAAGTATACTCTTCCTATTGACGTCATTGAAGTATTATCGTAATATCCACATTGATATTATGGTCTTGTTATCAAGCAGCTTCATTGCTATGTCGTTATTTAGGGGAACTACACCCAAAAATCAAAATTTCAGGGTCCGTAGAGTTTTGGGCGCTGAGTCGGATGGTCAAGGTCCGACTTCGATCAGACCAAGCGTTCATGAGATATATCACTTTCAAATTGTCCTTTCGGGGGACGCGCCATGACGTCATGCGGCCGCGACACCCCCCCCCCCCCCCCCACCCCCAAAACGCCCTCCTACGTCATTGAGACTTGAGTGCTTGGGCCGAGATCAGAGCACAAGCTGAATTTGTGTTGGAAAGTATAGTTTGGAGGAGAAGAAGCCTGCAGAATGAGCGATTCCGAGGCATCAGACGACCTGGACTGCTTGGGTGAGCCTGATCTGGAAATGTTTGGTTTCGGGCGAGAGCCGAAATTTTCAGAAATGGAGTTGGCGGCGCAAGCGGAGGCTGATTTTGAAGTGAACGAGGACGAGGCAGAAATGGCTGCAGTAGGTGACGTCTTGTGGCCTCCGTTGAACCGGCTGGGCAACACCGAGTGGTGTGACTGCAGTAAGTGCCGTGCAATGCCAGAACGGCTGGATTGTATCTGCTGCCAGGACGCAGCCATTACTCTGGAGAGAACTCGGGAGCACGGAGTTCGATGTGTTGTAGAGATACCAGACTTCGAGACTGTCGTGCTCCACCAGCAAGTTCTGGCGACCGCTTGGCGAGGGTACTTCGAAATGAAGCAGCAGCCAAAGCAGCTATCTGACGAACCTGACAATAGGTAAGTGTTTGAACAATCTAGGGCTCTACGTACTGTACAAAATCGAATCGTTCTCTTCACGCCCTGAATTGTGAAAAATTTGTGTTCGTACAATAGTCTAGTCCCCTCACCCCATGATCCAGGTACATGAAGTTTGCTACATAGCAGGGCAAGCATTTTCTCCATGCATGTCGTACTTGTGCTGCACGAGTATTTGACATAAGTGCAGGATACCTCCCTTGGCCTTAGCATTGTGGCGATACATTATCACCTCAGGTTGTCATTATACTTGTACAAAATCACATTTGAGAAGTTCCCTCGTATTCCACCTTGCTGTGTATGCACACATACCACCATATTCTTTGCAGTCTAGCAGTGGCAGCAGCATGCAGTGCATGGTATCCGATAATTAGCATGACATCGTCCTGTTCAATACACAAAAAGCTCTCTGTCATTCATGATTGTGAATACAATTTGTGCACATAATTATGCGCTTGCACCCCCCCCCCCCCCCCCCACACACACACACGCGCGTATCTGCACGCGCGCGTATCTGCACACGCGCTTGCGTGCACACATGGACAAAAGTGTGTGTGTGTGCACAAATGGTCATGCTCCCCCGACGCACACTCTCTCTCTCTCTCTCTCTCTCTCTCTTTCTGGCTCTGATCAGCATCCACACCGAGCAGAACACGACACAAGAGCTGAACATTGTTCGTATGTGGACTATCTTCTGTCCTTGAACTGCAGGTCGCTGCGCTATGCAGCTTATCGACAGTACACGCTGTTCATACATGGGAAACTGGGCAGACATGTCCGTTGTCGGATTCCGTCCTGCGCCGTCAACGTCATACGAGCAAAGTATCCCAATCCTGAAGGTAAATGGATACAAGCACAACATAGAAAATTACCATGCTGCGAACCTTCTCAATAACGACATTCAAAAGGGCAAGATAATAATTATGTTGATATATGCGAGTTGTTGTCATGTGTGCGCTTTCTATTTTATGGATGTTTCTAGGAGAGCCATATCAAGGGTTCAGAGAAGCGGAGGACGAACCGGTGCAATGGCCAGATGACTGACCTGTAAGTAAATATTACTAAATGTTGTATTTGGCTGTTCACTACCCTGACTGCTTACATGTATAATTGAATTCGAACTTCTCCCATTGGCAGAAAATTGTGTACACTATTAGCACATTTTTTGAAGTGACGGATTTGCATGTACTCGTATTTTGTAAATGCTGCATGCTACTTTGCAATAAAAGTACTTGAAGTACTCAGATACACAAAAGCACATTGAGAAATTACGCACCCTGTGTTTATTCCTTGCCCATCCTAGATCGCAAGCGTTCTACAATGTCAGTCTTCTGTGGAGGTTCTTGTCGTGATATTGGCAAGTGTGGACGCTCAGGCAAGCTGGCAACATCCAAGTTGCGACGTGCAACTTTCACAACATCAGCCATTAGCTGCTCCACGAACTGGTAGCTCTTGCGGTCATACATTTTCTTGGCAACATAATCTCCTTTCTGCCGAGAAAATTGCACCTTGTATCTCTCCTGTCCTGATGCTGTCTTGCTGTGCTGGCGTCCAACATTAGAGTTATGGTCCAGAGCTGCCAACTGAGTTCGAGCGATCATGCCGTCCACAGAGAAGTGTATTCTCTTTGGGACATACTTCGTCATGACGCTGTGATACACCTGCACAAGGGCACACGTATAAAACAAGCAGTGGTTATTTTATTTTTTGGTGGTGGGGGGGGGGGGAGCTACTTACCTACCCTAGTATGTGCACGAAGCAAGTCAGAACCTACATGTATGTGTACTCCATAATAGTACTTTCGTTTAGGGCGCTCGGTTTTCCTACACGTAGAGATGTGTTGCTGGCATGTTGTGGGTGTGTTGTAGTATTGGAATCTCACCTCCAGTAATCCTGTGTGGCAGAATTTAGTCAGCCCTGCCATGTCCTTCAGCAATCTCTTGTCTATCACAATGCCATGTAGCACCTGATACGCTGGAGTTCCTGCACCAAATGATGGCATGTACACACACGCATGCGCACGCACACACGCACACACACACACACAATGGGAATATCGGTATGAGTTGCAGGAAGGCTTCAGACATTTTAGTATCCCGGTGAGGATAGCCTACCAGGTTCATAGAAATCACATAAGAATCACATAAGAATGAAAATAGGGTTTTCTTGAACCAGCATAGTTATCCAAATTGCGTAGCAAAGAAAATGCAGAACTTGAGCAGAATATGACTGAACCTAACACATGGCGTGCACAAACATTGGCCACTTGCCTGGTTTCAGCCATTTGACTTTTCTCTGCTCTTCGGAGGGCAGAGGATCGTGTGCACACTTGTTGTACAGCACACCCTCCGTCCAGGAGTGTATGTTGCACACATGGTACAGCACAGAGTTCCACCGCTCCTTGAGCATGGCTTCGCTGCCACCGCATGTGCGACAACACCACCACAGATGACACACAATCGCAGGTATCCACTCCAGGAGTGGCTGTTGCTGCTTTGTCCCGCAACCCGTGCGAAGCTTACTGGCGATGCTCTTGACGAAGTGCCAGACATCGAACTGGTGGCAAATAGCAGGATTCTGGCGCATCTCGACCTTGATGCTCGGGCTTCTGTCCGTCACGATGGTCTCAACGGACAGGACTTCCTGGCACCTGGCCAGAACTCGCTTGAAACCGAGCTTCTCCATGGCTACGGAACTTGTTGTCTCGGTACACTGGACAACTTCGAAGTCGACAATGAGATGGGAGTTTGTGTCCATGAACGTGTACGTCCCAAACTTAGCAGAGTACCCTGGGCTGTCACATCTGCCATCGCCGCTGAGTGTGAGCTTGTGGCCTGGAATTCACAAAAATATACAGTTTTCTATGTGAGAGAGAGAGAGAGATAAGGGAGGGGTCTAAATGAAACACGTGGTATAGGAAACAGAGTGTTGGGCATCTATAAATTCACCACTAAATGAATTGGAGCGTGTATGATAGCAGTTACACTGGAAAGGAATATCCACAGATCAAGGTATCCATGTTCAATTCGCATCTAGAATTCACCAACCTTGAAGTAAGGTCTTCACACGCATCGTTTCTGCTGCCCAAGCCGCCTGGATGATAGGCAGGACAATTGACTTCTGGCACTTGTAGTATGCAGTGGAGCTGATGAAGTTCCACTTCAAGAAGTTGGCAAATGCTGAGAACTTCTCGAAGCATCCACCACAGAAGATAATGGCAGCCACCACAAGGATGTTGCCTGTAATGGAGAGAGCAAGAACATACAATCGTTCATCCGTCATAACCAGATTTCGTTGGTTCATTTCGTTGTTGTTGTTGTTGTTGTTGTTGCTCTGTTTCTTTGATACATTTGAGCGAGTTATGCCGGCATATGTGACAGGATTGTGAAATTGAGGAGAAAGAAATCATTTGGCAATGACACATTTTCACTGGAAATATTTAGCTTCGGCTCTAAGCTTACCAATTGGTTGTTTGGGTGGGATAACCTCTTGTGAACGCCAGGTAACAGAGCATCCGCGTTTACAGGTCAAGTGGACAGTGACCATGGTACCACACCTTGACTTTGTCTGATGAATAACAGGATCTCCACAGTCAGGGCAAAAGCGAAGCAGGCGACTCAGGGATGTGGTCGACACCATGTGAAAATCATATCTGCTATCCAGATCATCATCGTCGTCTTCTCCATCCGCCGACTCGTCACCGGATGAAGATGCAGCTGACATGCTAGGGCTGTACAGAGGTGAATCCTCAGACGCTTCAGATGTGAGGCATGATGAAGACGTCGGTACCTTCAAGATGGCTGGTTTCGTTGGGGTCACATGCAGACTTGGCTGCAATGTGGGTCCTGGTGGGGTGCTTTTCGTCGGTGTTCGTGGATCCTGAGGTGCATGATGGCTTGGTCTGAAAGAATAGAGAAAGTATCCAAAACCAGAACACAGATATTGGACTTATTTGCCTACTACAAGAGGGATGATCAGTGTGGCCGACAGACCACTTGGGGACAGTTGTGAGGATTTATAGTTACTACATGATTTTACAAATTTTGTAGGGCAGTGTATGCACGGACCTGGTGCACCGAAGGCGAGCGGTATGATGGTATGTGTCCAAACAACAGGACATTATGCTTTGCTGAGCAAGAAGATCCAGAAATCACCAAATTATGCCATAAAAGACCGGTTGGTCTCCAAGTAAGGTCCAATTGGGATTGTTGTGCTACATACATTGCTGCGTGCAAAAAGAGTAGCCGCGCACGCCCTGAAAGTCACCATTTGGCTCCAAAATTAGACCCGCTTCTGCCAAACTGCCGCCTTCGTCTGCTTTATGCAGTGAATGTGCTGAAATATTCCCTGCACTGCCCTTTCCATAAAAGTTGGGGGAATCTGAAAAGTGTGCCGGCATTATCTGTTGATGACTACGTGTGTCGTGAATGGCACCATAAATACAAGTTTGGCTGCATGTGTACACATAAATATTATTGCTATCATGATTTGTGTCCTGTTTATGAAATCAGCGATCATGGTGTGCTCATATCAAATAATTCCAAAAGTAACACAAATAATTGGTACATCGACTTACTGCAAATCACACGAATGTTCCGCTTGCACATCAACAATTTCCACTGGCTGTTGCTCCATGTCCGTCTGGATGTCCTCCATCGTGGCCTGGGAACCCACACTCACAAATTCCCTCGCCATACCAGAGGCACACTTCAGGCAAACGTTCTCGTGACCTTCCCACCTGGAGGGTGGAGGGTCCGTTTGGACAGCAACGGACACGAATGCGTCTGGCTCAAGGATCTCTGAGTCTTCTTCGACTGGTGCAATTATTATTTCCGACAGTACCGGTACAGGCGCTGCGGGTGGTGGCGTCGGTCGCAGCTCTAGGTAGCGCTGGTACAGCCGCTCTTGCTCCTCTTTCTGGAAACCATCAAAAACAGCAATCGCAAACAGGCTCACCGATCGCGCCATTGTATAGAGAAATAAGTCTGGGAAACAGTAGTTCTAATGCCGTCAGCCTGTGAGATTCCGAAAAGCTTCACGCCTCTTCGCACTGCAAACAGGCGTTATTTGGAAATGATGAAATATTGCACTCACCTCTGCTTCGGAATCCTTTGCAGCTTGCAGCTTGTTTGGCTGACGCTTCGCAGGAGGTTCTGCGTGCGAGAAAACACACGGCACAGCTCCATGCACCAGCATCCGTCGCGAAGGAGTGCCCAAAACACGAGCCTTGAAATCTGCCTGAAAAGACTCCTCCGCGAAATGGCTCGCGCAAACAAACGACGTAGTTCGGAAACTGTCAGGTAGATTGTCTCTTTTGACAGCGGCTACCCATTGCTCCGCCAAGCTGTCGTCCTTGGGAAACCGGTGCAGACTTATCCCAGGAGGGCTGCCGGTATGGTTATTGCCCCCAACAACACAGCAAGACGGCATGATGAGCGCGAATACCCTCTTCCTCCATGCGCGAACAGGAAGAAGATACGAAATTCCAGTATTTCTAGATCTGGCCATCAGGTCACCAAGTCTCAATGACGTCACGGGCCTGTGACGTCACGGCACGGCCAAAAGTGAACAATTTGAAAGTGATATATCTCATGAACGCTTGGTCTGATCGAATTCGGACCTTGACCATTCGACTCAGCGCCCAAAACTCTACGGACCCTGAAATTTTGATTTTTGGGTGTAGTTCCCCTTAAGATTCAACACCGAAAACATTATTTTAAAGGCATGTACAGGCGAGATCAAGATACGTAAAACTTTAACCAGTTGACTTGGCCTGGCAGCTGACTTGTCGTGTCTCGCACACCTTACACAATCAAAGTGGTGGCAACTTCCATGAATTGGTTTGGCTTTACAACAATGGAATTGTGCAGTGTGCCATCATGTTACCTCACCTCGCGCATTGCAGACTCCCGAGACCGAGTGAGGACTACGCGCTATGTGACGCTTTAGTTATCGCTCCATCTGGACCGTACACTTTGTTCTATTGAGCGTGTTCGGGAACCCTAGTCTTACTCTCTGGATGAAGGAAACCTGGACAGTAGTACTGCTTCCCAACCCTGGTCAGCATTGCACGCCCCCTGCTGTCACATTCCCTGTTGTGCTGTCCGTTGCTGCAATAGCCCATGGCTATTGTCATACCTGGTTGCACTCATACACTCCCTGGCTGCACAGTGCCACTTTGGAACTGTTTCCATTGCCCATGTACTGTAAAAGCCATAACGAAGTGCTAACTCTAACTCTTCTCCTTCTTTTACCATGGTTGGCTATCACCCACATCTTCCCGTTTTGGCTGCCATCGGAAGCCATGAGAGGTTGAATAAATAAATAACGAGTTAACGAGGAGAAATCTGTCGTTAAAATAGAATCGTTATACAGAAATCGATACGTATACTGTCCTATTGAGCGTTGAGAATAAGTTATCGGGTCCGTTCGCAAGGGAACTCGCGGCGGGTGCTAACACGCGGTCAATTCAGGGGCAGCGCCTGCCTGTGGGGTTTAGGGATACGTCTGGCATGCACTGGCACAAGTGCTGATAACCCCATTAGCAGTATCAATCCTTGTGCGTATTCAAAGGAA